GGTAAGACGAATTAAATCTTCGAGGGTAGCAGGTTCGTCGAGGGTTGCAAGCTCATCCTTAATGTGTTCATTTAAAGCCATGAAAAAGGCTCCCTTCAGGGCGCTTTGGTTCAATCCGGAAGCTGCCGCTTTAACCCGGAAGTTGATGGAGAATTCAGCCACGGAAGAATTTCCCTGTTTAAGATTGAAAAGAGCTCGAGAGTCAATGGTTTGATCAGTCTCTTGGTTGAATACCTGAGTAAATTCAGAGAGGAAATCTGAGTAATTGCAGTTAAGACTATCGTCGGTGGCAAATCTTGCCTGAGCCCATTCCAAGGCTCTTCCTGTTAGCTGAGAAAGGATGAAGGTTATTTTCTTGTAATCTGTGGAAAAACTGCCTGGAGAGTTCTGAAAAATCAAACGACACTGAAATAAAAATCCTTTGCAATCTTTCATGTTACCAGAAAATCTTTCTGGAAGACTTGGGCGGAACTCTGATGACGTCACTGCCGATGACCTCGGAGGTGGAACTGGACCCGGAAATGGTTGAGGTGCTGGTGCAGCATTAGCGCGGTTCAAATAATTAGCATAACTCTGTAGCATATGGTTATGAGTATCAACCAGGCGGTATAACTCAGGGAGCGTTTGGGTTTGTCCTTGAATTTGGGCATCCTGCTCCTCCAATCGACGAGTGAGGTCATCTGCTGGGCCTTGAGTTTGGCCGCAGTGTTCTGTCATGATGGGTTCTCTAAGAGCGACCCAAGTATGCAGAACACCACTGACGGACACAAGAATAAAAGTTCAAAAGGTTTATTTGAGTACAAACACACAGAATGTACTGGTTCTGGCTTGGGCCTGGACACAGGTTCACCGGAGTCTGCGTGAGAGACAGTTCAGTTAGCGTTGCAAGCTGAAGCTTGATTTTCTTGAAGATTACTGATTGTACCTTGAGGGTTCTTGTGGTTAGCTTTGGGAGAGTCACTGTTGGATCTGGAGAGAAGTTCATCAGCAGAGTCTGCTTGCTGCTTTAGCGTCTCACGTCTTAGAATGAACAGACCTTGGCTTAGGGGTTTCCAGCTCTTAGTCCTGAGCTGCATGGAAGTTCTCTTTGATTCTTCAGGTTTGGCTCAGAGGGTCGGCTTGGCAGGTTAGCTCTTCCTGAGCTTCACAAAGGAGACACTGGTTTCCTGGAAGACAGAGACTACGATTAGAATCCAGGCTGGATTCAAAGTCACGGAGTTTCTCAGAGAATCTAGGCTTAGGCGCTGACCAACTGGATCAACACTGCAGCGTTGAGGCAAGGTCTGAAGACAGCTTATATAGTGGATCCTCTGATGATCTTGATGGGCTGCAGCTGTGCAGGAGGCTCCCTCAGAAGGATCCACGGCGGACTCTGCTGGAGAAAGGTGGAACTTCTCCAGCTCCCAACACTTTCAAACAATAGATAACCATTAAACTGTACAAGTGCAAATTTAACACCTTGCCTTCCTTGATGCAAAGTCATCAATAATGTCATCATGTAAAATCTGCATGGCAAGTTTATGGTTCACACTGGTGATGCAAGGCCACTGAGGCCTTCCTGAGACGTAGTTGACCTACAGTAAGATATGTTTTTAACAATTACAACTAAAAATCTTTTCTCAGCGCCAGCCACCGTAACGGGAAGGTTGACTGCAATTTTGCTTTTTGGAATTGATAAGATTTACACACCTTTAAAAACATTTTAAAAGACTTTTACTAAAAAAAATTAATGCAACCTCTTTTGGCATTTATGGTTGGCATTTTAGTTACTTTAACTGAATTATTTTATGTCCTGCCCTGCTAACATGAAACAATTGTGTTAAAGTAACTAAATATGATTAAGTAAATGCCAAAAACCGCTGCATTATTTTTTTCAGTATTGTAAGAAGTCCCTTCAACTTCTCAGTCTGAAAAGTTATTGTACAATATGTTCCTACAATCTGTTCCTAAAATATGTTGTGCCAGTTCATGGTTAAAAAGAACAAGCTCAAAGTTCACTCAGATGAAAATGAACTAGCTCATGTTCATAGTTAGCTTTTTAAATGAATTAACTAACTTTACAAACCTATAAATGAACAGGTTGAAGTTCATTTGCTAACTTAAGCCACAATACTCAATAGAAACTCATATTTCGTCCTTTAAATGTGTGATGATAATATATAGAAAGGAATGGAAAATACTGGATGCAGTCAAGGTAAACTGGATGTGCAGTAAAGCCTTTATTTAGCCAAATTACACAGAACTTTAGAAACATACAGGGACATTCAAGTTCTGCTGAAAAGATCTGGATCAAAGATGATTTCTTACATTTCTCATTCAGTAGCAGATATTTTCCAAGATAGCTCAAATGCTTTAACTCGATGTGTCGCTTTAAATTTCAAATGAACGTGGCTGATGTTTACTGCAAAAAACTGAAATCTAAATCTGAATTGAAATGTTCTTAAATTAAGTGCCTTTTGTCTTGAATTGAGGAAGTAAGTGAGACACTTTGACAATGGAACAAGACAATTTACATTTAAGATAAGAAAAAAACAATAGCATTGTCTTATTTCCAGCGAATATTATCTTCTCTTTCCATTTCATTGGCATATCCTCTTATTCGCCAACTTAAATAAGGACAAATACACTTAATTTAAAATTTGTTTTATTTATATCTAGATCATTTTTGATGTGTATGTGGACTTGTTTGTGGAGTCCTGGTGGGCACAGGTTGCATAAAAAATTTAGTTTTTTCTCTGTCTGAGTGTTGCTTTTTTAGTTCATCACTCTGACACTTGTCAGAGTGATGAACTAAAAAAGTTTTCAGTTTTTCTTTGTTTTCTAGTTTTATTGGTTTAATTATTTTGTGCTGTTTCCTGGATGTATTTGAGTTCTAAGGTATTGTTTGCCCTCTGTTGCCCTCTTGTGTTGGTCTCCTTTTCCCTAGCTCCTTTCTAGATTCCTCTGTTCACACCTGCTCCCAATCTGCCGATTAGCCTGGTCTTTGGCTACGTTCACACTGCAGTCTGAAGTGACCCAAATCCAATTTTTTTGGCCCATATGCGACCTGTATCTGATTTTTTCATGGCAGTCTGAACAACACAGATCCGATTTTTTCAAATGGGACCCAGGCCACTTGGCTATGTGGTCCTGAATCCAATTCGAATCTGATCTTTTCAAATGTGACCTGTGTCTGAACGTCGCATTCATCCGTCCTGAACGCCATTAATACCCAACAAAGGTCACTATTCTGGGTCTTGCTAGGAAGAAGCTGCAAGAAAAAAAACACAACCATGGCAGACAATGATGCGGAGTGCAGTATTTATGCTTAGCAATCTTGAAAAGATTGTGTTTTATTGTTGGGAAAGATCACTAGATGCGCTACCACCCATGTTTAATTCCTTAAATACAGAGCATGCTGGCCTTTGATGTCACTGCACCCTCTACTGCGCATGCAGGACACTTGCATTGTATGACTGCAGTTTAAAAAGGAGATTACATACAAGTCGCATATATTTGGAAATGTTAACGGCAACCCAAAAAATTTAGCATTAAGGCCTGCAGTGTGAACGTAGCCTTTGTTTCTCTCTCCCATATACAGGTGCTGGTCATAAAATTAGAATATCATGAAAAAGTAGATTGATTTCAGTAATTCCATTTAAAAAGTGAAACTTGTATATTATATTCATACATTACATACAAACTCATATATTTCAGATGTTTATTTTGTTTAATTTTGATGATTACAAATGACAACAAATGAAAATCTCAAATTCATCATATCAGAAAATTAGAATATTACTGAAGACCAATAAAAACAAAGGATTTATAGAAATGTTGGCCAACTGAAAAGTATGAACATGAAAAGTATGAGCATGTACAGCACTCAGTATTTAGTTGGGCCTCCTTTGGCCTGTATTACTGCAGCAATGCGGCGTGGCATGGAGTCGATCAGTCTGTGGCACTGCTCAGGTGTTATGATAGCCCAGGTTGCTCTAATAGTGGCTTTTAGCTCTTCTGAATTGTTGGGTCTGGTGTATTGCATCTTCTTCTTCACAATACCCCATAGATTTTCTATGGGGTTAAGGTCAGGAGAGTTTGCTGGCCAATTAAGAACAGGGATACCATGGTCCTTCAACCAGGTACTGGTAGCTTTGGCACTGTGTGCAGGTGCCAAGTCCTGTTGGAAAATGAAATCTGCATCTCCAAAAAGTTGGTCAGCTGCAGGAAGCATGAAGTGCTCTAAAACTTCCTGGTATGTGGCTGCATTGACCCTGGACCTCAGAAAACACAATGGACCAACACCAGCAGATGACATGGCACCCCAAACCATCACTGACTGTGGAAACTTTACACTGGACTTCAAGCAACGTGGATGAAGTGCCTCTCTTCTTTTCCTCCAGACTCTGGGACCTTGATTTCCAAAGGAAATGCAAAATTTACTTTCATCAGAGAACATGACTTTGGACCACTCACCAGCAGTCCAGTCCTGTTTCTCTTTAGCCCAGGCAAGACGCTTCTGACGCTGTCTGTGGTTCAAGAGTGGCTTGACACAAGGAATGCGACAGCAGAAACCCATGTCTTTCATACGTCTGTGTGTGGTGGTTCTTGAAGCACTCACTCCAGCTGCAGTCCACTCTTTGTGAATCTCCCCCACATTTTTGAATGGGTTTTGTTTCACAATCCTCTCCAGGGTGCGGTTATCTCTCTTGCTTGTACACTTTTTTCGACCACATCTTTTCCTTCCCTTCGCCTCTCTATTAATGTGCTTGGACACTGAGCTCTGTGAACAGCCAGCCTCTTTAGCGATGACCTTTTGTGTCTTGCCCTCCTTGTGCAAGGTGTCGATGGTTGTCTTTTGGACAACTGTCAAGTCAGCAGTCTTCCCCATGATTGTGTAGCCTATAGAACTAGACTGAAAGACCATTTAAAGGCTTTTGCAGGTGGTTTGAGTTACTTAGCTGATTAGAGTGTGGCACCAGGGGCCATCAATTTTGAACCTTTTCACAATATTCTAATTTTCTGATATGATGAATTTGAGATTTATATTTGTTGTCATTTGTAATCATCAAAATTAAACAAAATAAACATCTGAAATATATGAGTTTGTATGTAATGTATGAATATAATATACAAGTTTCACTTTTTAAATGGAATTACTGTAATCAATCTACTTTTTCATGATATTCTAATTTTATGACCAGCACCTGTATGCACCTTCTGCTCAGTCACTCTTACTAGTTTGTCATCATTTCTTTGCCCCCTTGTTGTGAGTATTCCTCGTTCTCAGTTTTTCCTGATTTATATTTTTTGATTTCTGATTCGGTTACCCTTTTTGTTGTTAAATCTTCAAGAAACAATTTTTAGCTTTATTGTCTGCATTTGGGTCCTGTCTAACCTCCACCCCATCGTGACATTCAATGAACACGTTCATGCACAACACTGTCCCTACCATCAGTTTAACTTTTTTTTTTTTTTTTTCATACATTCTCATCAGGTTAAAGTTAGGCCTCTAACTGTGATAAATATTAAGAAGCCAAGGAAAACATATTTGATAAATTTAGAGAACAATTTTAATCTGAATCTAACACGGGTATAAAAAATATTTGGGATTGCAGCACAACTTTGACATCATGATAAATATCTAGGCAGAGCCACATCTCTGGTTATAGGTTTTGCAGGTGTCGAAAATATTTAGATCAACATCAAAATTTCCCTCTGGTACAGTTAAACATATCCTGGTAAAAAAAGAAAAAAACAACTGTAGTTATTGTTTTACTCCACTATGTCACCTAAATGCAGACAAAGGGGGAAAAAATCTCTCTTTGGATTGATTTGTTCATTTACACTTCAAATCTCTAATCAGTGAAGTATTTTGATGCTACTGGAGCCTCGCTTTAGAATCTGACGAGAGAGAATAATCTTAATAGATTTTCTGAACCAAGGGTAGAAAAAGGCATAAATGACAGGGTTTAAACAGGAGTTAAAATGTGCGAGCCAAATCTCAAAGGCTGCAGACGAAGCATTGACAGAAGTGTCTTCACCCTCCAGAGATGGAAAAAAGTAAGGACAGAAACAAATCAAAAACACAACCACAACAATACCAAGAGTTCTGGCTGCTTTCATCTCATTTTTCCACATAGTTACAGAGCCATGCTTGCCAGGTGCCGTTGAAATTTGGGAACGCATCATCCGAGCCTGGGACAGAGCAACAACAAATACTCTGAAATACAGAGATAAGATGACAGTAATTGGCATGATGAATGTGAAAACCATGTCAATTATCCCTGCAATGTTGCTGATGACAACTACACACTCTCCAATGCAGGAGACAGACACACCTGGATTTACCACATGATCCTGTAAAAGAAGTAGCCTGTAGAATACGGAAACAATCCAGCATAGACTCACACAGACCTGTGTTGTGCTCTTAGTGACCTTGGTAGGGTAATGCAGAGGATCACAGATAGCAACATACCGGTCAATCGAAATCAAAACCATATTTGCAACAGAAGCAGAGGTGATTATGTAGTCTGCAATATAATAGAGAGTGCACACAATGTCCCCAAGAAACCAGCAGGCTTCTATGTAGATTATTTCAACCGGCATCAGCAGAAGGCCCACAAGGAGGTCAGAGACAGCCAGAGAAAGAAGGAGGAGGTTGGTTGGGGTGTGAAGCTGCCTGTGTGGAAAAGAGATAACAAGAAGAAACATTCAGGTAAAAAGAAGTGAGATTGTTAGTTTTTGAATGGGTAAATTCAGTAAAAGAAATTATTGTTATAACATCAATGCAAGGCTATTCACATATAAGAATTACTTATAGTATTTACAGAGAAAGAATAAACATTTTAGATCACTGTAAGTGCCTGAAGTGGGAAATGGAGACGATGACAAGTAGATTCAGAGCCACAGTGAAGAAGGAGATGGAAGAAAGCAGAACGTAAATGAGCAGAACTGTGGTCTGGGAGTGAACTGGCTTTCTGCAGGAGGAGTTAAGCTGTGGGACACACAGCTCTATTTCCTCCAGCGTTTCCATCATCTGACAGAAAAGGCTGCTTAGGGCTGACTTTTCCAGATTAAAAGCTGTTTTATAAACCTTAGACCCCTCCTCTTTCTGAATTACATCTGCAACATATTTTATTTGTTTAATTAAGCAAATTCTTTAAAAATTTGCATCATTGTTTGAACTGTTATGATCTTTACAGTCCTAAGTATTAATCTTTTTAGTTTTTTTTCATATCAAGCAATGTATTTGGCTGGGATTTTAGGTGATATATCAAAAAAGAATAAGGCATAATAGTGAACTTAAAGGAAAATAATAAAATCTGAAAACTGACACTGATCTGTATTCCACCTTTTTAATCAATATGTTAAAGAAACATATTAGATTGTTAAAGGAAAAGTCTAGTCAGCAAGGAATAATCAATGGATCAATATTTATACCTAAAACTAATATGTTTAAAGTGATTTAATGATTTTAGCATTAATCAGTAAAAAAAATAAAAAAAGAATTTCCGGGAGTTTGAGAGCGGCCATTGATGCCCAAATATAGTAACACCCCACTCCTGACATCTTCCAGCAGTGACACCACTATGCGGTAAGCCTAGCGCCATTTTCCCTGCTAATATTTAAGATTTTGAGATGACTTCACCATTGAAATTCACCAGAGCTATAGTTAACAATGCCCACATAGATGGCAGTTGGATGTTGTAGTACATCTGGTAAAAGTACAAAAAAAATTTTATTTATTTAGTTATTTCACCTTTATGATCGGGTTCATCGTTGGATTGCCAACTTGAAGATGGAGGATTTGCCATTGAACGTATGGCCAAAAAAACATGTAATATGTAGCCAACATTTCGGACAAGACTGTTTTCAAGATGACTTTGATAATTGTGACAAACACCATGATGTCACAAACCGGTAGGTGGCAGTAGTGTTCTTTGACAAACATGGATGTCTCCAGTAAATCACATTCAAAGGAAAATTACTCTTAATTAAAAACACTTATCTTTTATTAAACAATATGTAATAATTTCATATTTAAAGTACTTACAGAAGTTTCAATTCTGAATATGACCAGACTTTTCCTTTAAGGAAACTTAAGACATACCTGTAAATGTCCTTATAACTAGAACCGATTCTGTGTCTTAAATTAATCCGCAGTGTTTATTTTGCTCCAGCAGTAACGCAGCCGATGCTTTTATTCTGAAAGGCTCAGAGCAGGAAAGTGACGTGAATGGAATGTCACGGGGTGTATAGCAGTGGCGCGAACGCTGGCAGGCAGAGAGAAGCCATGTTTTAAAGTAAACGAGAAAAGGCGTGTTGTCACGGAATACTCTTGATTGGCAAAGAGTCCTTAGCACCTGGTTGATGAGGGAACAAGGTTCGTATCAGTGTTTGTTTTTTACAATGCATATTTAGCCATATTTCACAGAGCTTACAGGTCTGCTAAGTTATATTCATTGTAGTTACGTTTTTGTCCACCAAACGGTGCTAATGGTCTCTGTTAAGTTTGTCATTCTTATTCAGCGATACAAATGTTTGTGAATAGTAAATTTATATACCAAGTGAAGTCACAGATGGCTACATTATAATGCATTTTCTTTTATTTTATGGTACAAGGCATTGTAAAATACTATATTAAAGGGTTTAATAAATATACATTGAAAAATATGGTGATGGCATTAAAATTTAAGGATTATCCAGATTAAAAAGGATTGTAATAATTTAAGGTTAAAATGATTCATGGTAAATTGATTATGTAAAAAGGGTAAAAGTCAGCATACTGTCTGAGTTACTAATGTGGATTTTATTTGTGTATTTTGTAGCTCTTACGGTGTGTTCACAAGCAAGGCAAATAAAATCCACATTAGTAACTCAGACAGTATGCTGACTTTTACCCTTTTTACATAATCAATTTACCATGAATCATTTTACCTTAAATTATTACAATCCTTTTTAATCTGGATAATCCTTAAATTTTAATGCCATCACCATATTTTTCAATGTATATTTATTAAACCCTTTAATATAGTATTTTACAATGCCTTGTACCATAAAATAAAAGAAAATGCATTATAATGTAGCCATCTGTGACTTCACTTGGTATATAAATTTACTATTCACAAACATTTGTATTGCTGAATAAGAATGACAAACTTAACAGAGACCATTAGCACCGTTTGGTGGACAAAAACGTAACTACAATGAATATAACTTAGCAGACCTTTAAGCTCTGTGAAATATGGCTAAATATGCATTGTAAAAAAACAAACACTGATACGAACCTTGTTCCCTCATCAACCAGGTGCTAAGGACTCTTTGCCAATCAAGAGTATTCCGTGACAACACGCCTTTTCTCGTTTACTTTAAAACATGGCTTCTCTCTGCCTGCCAGCGTTCGCGCCACTGCTATACACCCCGTGACATTCCATTCACGTCACTTTCCTGCTCTGAGCCTTTCAGAATAAAAGCATCGGCTGCGTTACTGCTGCGTCAGAAAAATGATGCAACTCTGTTTGTACTATTTGGCCAAAGTCTTTAGTAACATAACACCGTGGTATTGTGATTTTCTCCAAGTTCTTTAGGTCATCTTTCCATTTATCCCACACTGGTCTTAGTTCACTGGGAAGGGGATCATCCCAGCTGCTGCCTTGTTTGCATGCCTCTTGAAGCACTCTTTTGCCTGTGAGTACAAAGGGGGAAATGAATCCCAATGGATCATAAAGAGATGCAACCATGGAAAGGATGCCACGTCTTGTAGCAGGTTGGTCATTGGAGTGGAAGCGGAACCTGAGCGTGTCTGAGTCAATGTGCCAGTGAATGCCTAGAGCTCTTTCAAGTTTATAGACGTTTAATGAAAGGTCACATGTTTGCTGTGAAGAGGCACGTTCAGATGCTGGAATGCTTTCTAGCACTGTTTTGTCATTACTTATAAACTTGTGTAGTCTAAGGCCACCTGATGCACAGAGTGTCTGAGCCTCCTGAGCGAGCTGAATAGCTTCCATGATACTTGCAGTACTTGTTACGCCATCGTCTACGTAGAAATCCTTCATTATGAACTGCGATGCAAGGGGAAATGTTTTCTCATTTTCCTTAGCCAGATGCTTTAATCCATAATTGGCACACCCTGGTGAGGATGTGGCACCGAAAATGTGAACCTTCATTCTAAATTCTTGGGGCACAGTGTCCAAATTGCCATTTTTCCACCATAAAAACCTGAAATAGTCTCTATCTGCTTCATGCACATGAAACTGATGGAACATTTTTTCAATGTCACATAGCAGTGCAACCTGATGCTGTCTGAATCTGATCAAAACACCATTTAAATTGTTCAATAAATCTGGACCTGGAAGCAAATGATCATTGAGACAATTTCCTTTGTATTTTGCTGAGGCGTCGAAGACCACTCTGAGTTTGTCTGGTTTTTGGGGATGATATATCCCATGGTGGGGAATATACCATTTTTCTCCTTCCTTTGCTTCACTGTGCACTTCCTCTGCATCTCCCTTTTCAATGACTTCATTCATAAACTTTACATATTGCTCCTTGTACCTTGGGTCCTTTAATAATTTGTTTTTGAAGCTTTGAAGTCGCACAGTGGCCATTTGTTTATTATCTGATAAGAAAGGTATTTCCTTAAATGGAAGTGGCATTTCATAATGTCCTTCATTGTTTTTGTGAATTCCTTCCCTCAATGTGTTCAGAAAGAGGATGTCATCTTGAGACACTGATCTATTGTCCTTGTCATCATCCTTAAAGTCTGACTCGAGAACCTTGATTGCATCAGCTGGAGTCATTAAGGGGAGCTCTTTGACTGTTACTCTGTGACACACAGACATGCTAAGAGAGTCACTGTGAGATGATGTGGGGCCTACAATACTCCAGCCCAATGCTGTGCGAACAGCGTAGGGTTCGTTCTCTCCTCCTAAGATTACCTGCCTTGGAGCTAATGCCTTGGAACAATTGTAACCAATCAAAAGCCCAACTTCACATTCTAGCTGTGGAGGAATCTTATCCTTTATTACCTTGAGGTGATTCCATTGCCTTGCCGTTTCACAGGAAGGAATGTGAGAGCGGTTAACTGGTATACAGTCTTTAGTGTAAGCAGGAGGGAGTTCAATAATTTCTGTGGAGTTGTAGCCTCTCACTTTCAAACCTGAGACACGTTCACTTGGTACAACAGCATCTTTACCAAGCATTGTTGTGAGCTTTAACCTTATTGGAGTAGACTTAGCTTTGATATTATTAGACACATCTTGATCAATGAATACTGTGTCACTTTGGGTGTCTAAGGTAAATAAGCTTTTCATTACCTGGATGTTGCTCTGACGAAACCCATACGGGTACAATCATGGAAGTGTTTACACATGTTCCGTTGGTTTCTGCATTGAGAGATAGAGTAGTTGCAGCCTGTTCAGTGTTGTTCTGAATCAATGTTGTGGCTGATTTATCATTTTCATAGTTGAAGTCATGCAGACAGGTAGGGTGTTTCTTCTTACACACTTCACATACAAGTCTATAACGACAGTCCTTTGCACTGTGTCCAGCTTTCAGACAGCCATAACAGAGCCTATTATCCTTTATGTATTTCCTTCGTTCCAACAGTGATTTGCCTTTGAACTGGGGGCAATTTTGAAGTTTGTGTCCATTGTTTTGACATAGCATGCATAGTGATGTAACATTTGATCTTTGTTTTGTGTTTTCCCTTTCTGTTACCACCTGTGTATGGAGAACACTGGAGGTGGGTCTTTTTTCCTTTTGATAACTTTTACTGGTGATTCTTGTGAAGTCTGTAGAGTGGAGAGCCTGAAATGATGTTATTGGATTGCACACTATTTCAGCTTCAGAAGACATGAACTCAGCAAAGTGTTTTAAACTTGGAAACTTTCCACTTTCCTTCATGTGCTGTGTAGCTTGACGATTCCACCGTGCAGCTGCCCAGTTTGGTAACTTCTGAACAAGTTTTTGGTTCTCCTCACAATCATTGAGAATGTCTAACCCTTCTATGTGGGGCATAGCTTCATTACAGGTTTGAATGAAATCAGCGAATGCTCTAAATCCTGTGGAATCATTTGTTTGAATCTTCGGCCATTTTGCTAGTTTTTCTCTAAATGCTCTCTGAACGACAAACGGATGTCCATACCTTTGGTTGAGGCGTTCCCAAGCATCTTTGTATGTGTTGCTGTCAGCTCTGTAGAAGATGCCATCAAGTGTTTGTTGAGCAGAACCAGATACATATTTCTTTAAGTAATACAACTTGTCTGCAGGTGAGATGTTCCTTTTGTCGATTAGTGCAGTGAATGAAGCTTTCCACTCAATAAACTGTATTGGGTCACCTGTGAATATGAAGGGCTCTGGCATCGGTAGTCTACTCACAGCTACATTGTCCTGTAATGCTTGGGCTAAATAAAGAATGTCTGCTTGTGGATGTGAGGAGGAAACACCATTACTGTTGGTGTCTTGAACAGAAGCAGAAACCATGGGAGCCTTCTGATCTGCTCGGCTGCAGTCGACATGAACACCACTCTCACCTTTTAACTCCTGATCATAAGTCACTAGCCTCGCTCGTGCAGCCTTCAACTCCCTTTCAGCCTTCAGTCTCTCTATCTCACGTTTTTGAGATTCAAGCTCCCTTCTCTGTCTTTCTTCTAAAAGTTGAATCCTTTCCTTTTGTTTTTCTTCTTCTATGAATACTTCAAACTCTGCCTCCTTGGCAGCTAATTCTGCTGCAGCCTCCGCTCTCCTTACAGCTACTTCTGATTTTGCAGACATTGACTTACATGCAGATGATTGCTTACTTGAGTTTGTGACAGAATAACTGTAAATGGATTTAGCGTAGTCTAGATCAAAAAGCTCACGTAGACGTCTCTTCACTTTATCGCTGTCATAGTCATCTATCCCTGAGAGTCTTTCATGTGCGACCTTGATAATGTCTTTGGTGACTGCTTCACATGCATCTATGAGTCGCCTTGTGTCACTAGAGGGAGTAATGCTTTCCCTAATTTCTGTATATAACTTTATGACACCATCTCTTTCTTTCTCTAAGATGTCCATGAGTGAAGCGATTTGACTATTTTGAAGATCTCCCTTTAGTTGTTCTCTTGTTGAGCGTATTTGTTTTTTCCATTGATCATAAACTTTGAGGAGACGTTTCTCCTTTTTATGGGCCTCTTCCTCCAAATATGCTTGCATTTTTTTTGTTGGTTTCCTTGGACGAACAGAGCAGGGAGGTTCCTCTTCCCTGTCAACTTGGAGGTTCTCTGTGTACTTTGTTTCCTTTTCAGATGCTTCCATGCTGATGACCTTGAAAAGTCTTTAACTGGGACCTCAGTGCTGAGCGTGGGATGAACTTCGTCTCACCTTATAAAGAAGCTCTTCTCAGCTTGGGGTCAAGCTCTTACTGTAGCGTCCGGTTGAAAAGATGGTCTCTCAAACTGATGGTTCACAATTCCTTTTTATTTATTTGCCTTGCTTGTGAACACACCGTAAGAGCTACAAAATACACAAATAAAATCCACATTAGTAACTCAGACAGTATGCTGACTTTTACCCTTTTTACATAATCAATTTACCATGAATCATTTTAACCTTAAATTATTACAATCCTTTTTAATCTGGATAATCCTTAAATTTTAATGCCATCACCATATTTTTCAATGTATATTTATTAAACCCTTTAATATAGTATTTTACAATGCCTTGTACCATAAAATAAAAGAAAATGCATTATAATGTAGCCATCTGTGACTTCACTTGGTATATAAATTTACTATTCACAAACATTTGTATTGCTGAATAAGAATGACAAACTTAACAGAGACCATTAGCACCGTTTGGTGGACAAAAACGTAACTACAATGAATATAACTTAGCAGACCTGTAAGCTCTGTGAAATATGGCTAAATATGCATTGTAAAAAACAAACACTGATACGAACCTTGTTCCCTCATCAACCAGGTGCTAAGGACTCTTTGCCAATCAAGAGTATTCCGTGACAACACGCCTTTTCTCGTTTACTTTAAAACATGGCTTCTCTCTGCCTGCCAGCTTTCACGCCACTGCTATACACCCAGTGACATTCCATTCACGTCACTTTCCTGCTCTGAGCCTTTCAGAATAAAAGCATCGGCTGCGTTACTGCTGGAGCAAAATAAACACTGCGGATTAATTTAAGACACAGAATCGGTTCTAGTTATAAGGACATTTACATGGCGCCTAACATGGGACATGAACCCATGACCCTGGGAAGTTTCCTAAGGGGTATAAGATGGCAGGCCTTCGAAAAACGGTCTACAATGGTGAAAATGGTGGAAATACCTCGAGAAACTGGTAGGCCGGTGACAAAGTCAATGGCGATATGGGACCAAGGGCGCGAGGGCACTGGAAGTGGCTGAAGCAGACCAGAAGGAGGTTGGTGTGAGGCCTTATTACGGGCACATGTGGAGCAGGCCAACACATACTCCTTGACATCTCTATGGAGGGTGGGCCACCAGAAGCGTCTTGAGATTAAAGCAATTGTTCTGCTGACCCCTGGATGAGCAGAAAACTTGGCGGCATGCATCCATTGGATGAGACGGGACCTGACGGAAGATGGTACATAGGTTCGGTTAGTTGGACCGTTACCTGGATCAGGTTCAGTAGCCAGGGCGGAGTTGATCAGGTCAGTGATCTCCCAGTTAACAACACCCACTGTACAGGAAGCCGGAAGGACAGGTTCAGGTGTCTCGGGATGATCGACGGTGTCATGATTTATCAGGTTACTAGCCAAAGATGCAGAACTCCACAAGACACTGAGGCAGGATTAAAGTCCAATGTTTATTTGGATCAGCACAGGGTTCTGCCCTGGAAGGCAGAGGAGACAGAGTACAGGTTAAACTCAGGGACAGGTAAACAAACTGAAACTCACAGGTTCGCTGGTTTGACAGGCTGGGTTTAACAGGCACAGATTAGCAGATTCAGGCAGGCATGGCAATGGCAAGGCATGGCAGCACATGGCAAGGCGACAATGACCACGATCCGCTCAGAGTGAAGCTATCAAACAGTTTATATAGGGAGAGCTTAATCAGCAGAGCTGATGGAGATCAGGTGTGAGTGCTGAACAGCAGCTCCCAGGGGAAAGATCCACATCGCCCTCTGGAGGGCAAATCCCAGGATCTCAACAGAAACAGAAGCCCACAGAATGGGATCCAAGTCGCCCTCAGGAGGGCAAACCTCTGGATCCCAACAATTCCCCCCCCCTCAAGGGCGGATACCAGACGCCCAAAAACAAAAAAACAGAAAACAAAACAACCCACTCGGGGCGAGCGGAGGGGAAACAGGCAAGGAGGGCCAGTCACAGAAACAAAAACAGGGTCCAGAAATCAAAACAACCCATCCGGGGTGGGCGAGGACAGGAAAAGTCTCAGGTGGCCGGCCGTGGGGGCCGGCAGCAAGGCTTAGTCTCAGGTGGCCGGCCGTGGGGCCGGCAGCAAGGCATAGTCTCAGGTGGCCGGCAGTGGGGCCGGCAGCAAGGCAGAGTCTCTGGTGGCCGGCCGTGGGGCCGGCAGCAAGGCAGAGTCTCTGGTGGCCGGCCGTGGGGCCGGCAGCAAGGCAGAGTCTCTGGTGGCCGGCCGTGGGGCCGGCAGCAAGGCAGAGTCTCAGGTGGCCGGCCGAGGGACCGGCGTCTCAGAAGCTGCAGGGGCCTAGGAAGAGGACGCCTTCTCTGCTGCAGCAGGATGCACCGAGGTAGACGCCGTCTCTGCTGCTGTAGGAAGCACCGAGGAAGACGCCGTCTCTGCTGCTGCAGGAAGCACCGAGGAAGACGCCGTTTCTGCTTCTGCAGCACAGCAACAGGCTCAGCAGCAACCGCCGACTGTGGCTCAGGAGGAGGCTCAAAGGAAACCGCCGACTGCGGTTCAGGAGGAGGCTCTGAGGAAACCACCGACTGTGGCTCAGGAGGAGGCTCAGAGGAAACCGCCGACTGTGGCTCAGGAGGAGGCTCTGAGGAAACCACCGACTGCGGTTCAGGAGGAGGCTCTGAAGAAACCGCCGACTGCGGCTCAGGATCAGGAACAGAAAAGGCCGCCCATTGCGGCTTCGCATCAGGAGGAGAGGAAACCACCGATTGTGGCTCCACAGGGACACAGGAGGCTGTCGATTGCGGCTCCGGATCTGGGGCAGAGGAGTTTACCGGCTGTGGCTCCACTGGAACACAGGAGGCCGTCCCTTGCGGTTCCGCTTCAGGAACAGGGGTCCTTGGACGGCTCCAGATCTCCTGCATTCGACGATTCCACTCCTCATCTCGTCGACGCCGCTCCATCTCCCATTTACGATTCAACTCCTCATTACGTTTTATTTGTGTATTTTGTAGCTCTTACGGTGTGTTCACAAGCAAGGCAAATAAATAAAAAGGAATTGTGAACCATCAGTTTGAGAGACCATCTTTTCAACCGGACGCTACAATACCAATGCCAAAATGTTCAAATTTTCCTTTGCAAAAAATTTGAAAAGGTGTGCTTTTCTGGTTATGATTTCAAGATGAAGAAATGGTTTTCATATTTCTTGCTCATGGGTGGTTACTACCAGGTTAGAAATTGAACTTCAGAATTCAGGTAAAAAGAAATACATAACACATGTCAAAGTACAACCCATAAAAAGAAGCTTCGCTGCAAGTCCAGCAGGTTCTGAAACAGCCTTTTCTGCTGCCATCAGACTGTTGAATTGTTGAACTTTAAACTTGACTCTGCATCACACTGCAACAACATATTTGCATTACCAACGCGGCTGATTTTATGTTAGTGTATCTTCCACAATATCTAGTTTACACGGCAATGAAAGTTTCCATATTAATGCCTTTTGCATCATGACTTTTAAACTGGTTTCCTTTTCTCCTACACTGTTTACATTCTTGAATACTGCAGCACTTTATAAATGTTAAGGTTAATTTCCTTATTGTAAGCTACTCATTCAGTGTTGTAAGCTGTATGCAATGAAACTTCGTTTTGTATACACTCTGTGTGTACAAGATGACAATAAGGTTTGTCTAAGTCTAAACATAACATGAAAACAGAACCAAAAACTTCTAATATTCAATTAAAGTTTGTAAAGATCCAGACCTGTTTTTGACTTCAGTTGATTGTTCTGTGTTATTTAAGTCCATGCCGTCAATGTGTCCTTTGTTTTCATCACATAACCATCAGGTTCTTGATTTCTGGACTCTCCTCCTTAGTATGTTTTGTTTATTTCTGAATGAAATACTCCTTCACCAAAATGAGTCTGCTGATGTCGGTTTATTGGGACAGAATATTCCAAACATTTTTATGCAGATGATACTGTCATATACTGTGAAGCACCTGCTCCTGCTCATCGGCGTCGCCAGACCCCATTTACTGGGGCACGTGCCCCAGTATAAATCTCATGAATATTTGCAACAGTATTACATTTTTTTAATGCATCAACTTAGATAATTCCAATGGGAGGAGACGTATATTTCTAATCATATGCGCAGCAAGTGTGTTGTTAACTCCAAATTGAGGATGTATTAGCGCCCCCACGTCAGCGCATGTCACTGCGCTGCTCTCAACTGTTTTGGATGGGACACTGTGCGGCCGCGACGCATTTTTAGTTCTGGTAACGTTTCTTACCTGTCAATTTTATTATTTTCCCAGTAAAACCACATGATTTATAGGCTACTAACTGAAAATGACTGCATTGGTTTGTAGATGGATATCAGGAAATTCTTCACACGAAGCAGAGACAGGGAAGCAGTAAAACAAGATGAGAGAGAGGGAGGTAAGGTCCCGTGATGAATTAGAGATTTAAGCTAACTAGTTACATTAGAAACGTTATAAGCAATATGATTGATATTTACATAATTATACATTTATGTTTTTAATGTTTGCTGTAGAGAATGAGAATGAAGGTGCTGGAATTTGGAGTAAAAAAACGTTCATTCAATTCAAAATGGTTTGAAAGCTTTTCCTGGTTGAAAAAGAAAGCCTTGTCATCAAGGTTATGCAGTATGTTTTCAACTTGCTTGATAACATCATATTCCCAACACTAACGCAGGTCATCCAGATCTCCCTCACAATCACAATCAACAGCTGTAGTTGTGAAAGGTCATTCAGTGTGTTGAGAAGGATCCACACTTGGCTGAGGTGCACAATGGGACAAGACAGGCTCCATCATCTTGCTATTTTATCAGTTGAAAAGGAAGAACTTTCTAAGCTGAGTCACAGTCTAGTGATTGACCGCTTTGCAAAAATGAAACATAGGAGGTACACTTTAATGCTCATAAAACAAAAGAAAAACTTAGTTCAGGTTGAGTTAAAATTTACCCTGAACTAAAACTCTGAAACCTAGGAATTAATGATTACTTCAGAATGTGTATAAGGAAACTTTTTATTTGACAAAGTTGTTGATGTCTTATTTTTTATAGCTGCAATGTTGAAAATATTCATGCTTGTTAAAACAAATATGCTCTTACACTTATTAATATCTCAACTGGTAATTTTGGTATATGTATCAGGGTTGGGCAGTGTGCTTGTTTGTATATTTGTATGGAAGGAGGGGCATATGCAGTAGGGGGCCAGTGCCCCAGTAAAGCTGTATGCCTAGCAACGCCCCTGCTCCTGCTAAGACCTTTCAACATTTACAGCATGCTTTTGATAAAGTCCAGTAACAGCATTGTCATTTTCAACTTATTCTAAATGCTGACCAAACAAAATGGATGCAAACATGAGATATTCACTGACTGAATAACTTTTAACAAGAAAACAGTTTTAGTTGTTAAAGATGTATGTTTTACAGCATATTAAGAGAGCCTTTACTGCTCAGGCTCTCATAGTCTGAGCATCCATCCATCCATCCATCCATCTTCTTCCGCTAATCCGGGGGTAGTGGCTTCAGTAGGGAGGCCCAGACTTCCCTCTCCCCAGCCACTTCGGCCAGCTCCTCCGGGGGAATCCCAAGGCGCTCCCAGGCCAGCTGAGAGACATAGTCCCTCCAGCGTGTCCTGGGTCTCCCCCTGGGCTTCCTCCCAGTGGGATGTGCCTGGAATACCTCACCAGG